GATTGCAAAAAAATCATATCGTCTGTTGGCATGACCTCCCAGGTATGACGATATCATTTGGTGAACGCGTCTTCTTCTGGGGGTGTAAAACCTTGTTGGCATTCTCAGGACAATTTATTTTTGTCTTTGAGCGATCCAAGGTTATGTCGGGAGTCGCATGTTTAAAACCACTCCCTTGCGGGTATGGAGTCTTAACGGGCTTCGAATGCTGATTTTGCATAAGTTCAGAATTTGGAATCCAAACTTGGCAGAGGTTTGGTGGTTCTTTGGTTACCGTTTCCTTCATCCTTTCTCGTCTTTGTTGTAAGGGAGCACGGGCATGAGCAGCGTTTGCACGATATTTTTGTATACGTTCTTTGAGGGTCGAACGAGTCCTTTTGACATTAGTCCATTCCTCCGTAGTGAGCTTAGCAGAGACATGAATGATTGGTCGTTGAGACAACTGAACCACTCGATGCCTCCTCGACTCTAAGTCCGCATGATAACGAACTCCGTCGGTTTGTTCCAAGGCTTTAGCTATTTGACGAGCGCGGCGCTGACGTTGTCTCTGACGAGCCCTCTTCGTCAGTGCCGGTGGGTTTTGATTCGATGACTCTTTAACTAGATAAGAGCCATTGTGAGCAGAGGTGTTGCCAGTAAAATCCTCAACAACAATCAAGCGAGAGTCTTCATTTTGTGCCTTCTTTGGCATATAAATCTTCCTCAATTGTGAGATCCTCTTGTATTTGCGAGACAAAGAAGATCTTGAAGAGGATGATGAGAGATATTCCTCAAATTTGGTTTGGTCGAATTCGTATTCGACCATGGATTCAACCGGAATCTTGATCGGCTGCGACACGATGGTCTCGGCAGCGAGACCGTGGGCTCCCACTGTGGTCGCCAGTTTGTTCGCGTCAAAAGTTGGTTTTGTTATGGAATTCATTATATCTTCGGTCGATTACAATAAATTCAAAGAAATAGTCTTTTTATAAGACCTCTTTTACACAACAAAATGAAAAATTACAACTCTTGAGAAACAAACACAGGATCGTTGTTTGGATCGCTACTTGCGTGGGATCTTTGCCTGTGCCGGGGGTGCGTTAGCCCGTGGACCACCAAATCACAGATCCTGATTGAATCGTGAGGGGTTTAATGATTTTGACTTCGTTTATCGAAGTGAGAATTTGAAACGATATCTTATCAAAGTAAGATAGTCGTTCTTCTTGAAATCAAGTCAAAGCTCGAATATCAAGGAATGGCCGTAAGCTCAAGAACTCTGCTCTGTCTGCTCTGAAGTGCTCCAAAAATGATCAGCCCCTGTGAAAAATGGCCTTCGGGGGGGGTATTTATAACCTCCAAGAACAGTTGGCGAAAAATAGGCTCGCGAGACAGCATTTGCTGTCTCGGCTGTCGAGACAGTATTTGCTGTCTCGGCGGGCGAGACAGTGTTTGCTGTCTCGGCCCGCGAGACAGTAAACGCTGTCTCGGAAACAGTAACCGTCAGGCCGTTTTCGTTTTAACTGCCTTCCCACGTTTCAAACTCCGTTATTTTGGCAGTTATCCACGTGATTCTCGCCCACGACGTTTCCCACGTTCTTGAACAGTTAATGGATGTGTGTGGCAGTTGTTTAAGGTGGTTTCTGACCATTTCAAAACTGTCTCGCTTGCGAGACAGTAAACACTGTCTCGCGTGCGAGACAGTAAAGACTGTTTCGCGTGCGAGACAGTAAAGACTGTCTCGCACGGCGAGACAGTAAAGGCTGTCTTTTCTTTGATTTTTTGGATGACTTCCTTTTGAGCTGTGTTTGGATATCTCTCAGCATTTTTTGACGCCTACAGCATCTTAATTTTTCTTACTTATAAACCAATATAAGCTGGTTGTCAAACATGTTTCTGTGGCTTATAACCCACTCTGACTAGTTCCCAAACATGCTAAATACTATTTGGAAGAGAGAGAGAGAGAGAGAGAGAGAGAGAGAGAGAGAGATTTTATTTAGATGGAGAATATACATACAGTACAAAATATAAGTTCATCCTAAACAAACTCAAGATAAACTAGTCCTTATTTCTTCTCCTAGCTACTTTCCTTTTAAAATCCTGAGGCCTAAAAAACAAGGATTAAAATTACTGAAATGCCCTATATAGTTACTCCGACCTTGCACCTAAGTGATCTCTTTTTAAAATATTCCACATTTGTGTCCTCTTGTTTACCCAATGTTACATATAATTACCCCAAAGTTTGTAGTGGCATCACTTAAATACCATAAAGTTTTACTTAAATACCCAATGTTGCATATAACTGCCTTGTAATGACGTCTCTAAGAGTTTCACTTTAGTCTGCTCTATTACGTGACATAGAAAAAAGTATAGCACCATCTGAGTTTTTTAACTAGGAGGTATTCATCCGCGACGTTTATATATTTTAAGGCACTTTTAGTTTGGTTTGGTTTGAAACTATTCCGACTTAAAAGGCTATTTAAGTGCAATTAAGCCAAAAAAAAAAAAAAAACAATCATCATGCATACATAGAACTGCAGTCAATGAATTGTGGAGCATTAACCCTCTCCTGGTTTTTTTTTAAAAAAAAAAGAAAAGAAAAGAAAAGAAAACAGTAACTAGCCAGTTTTCTACATCTACCTACGGTAAATTATCCCCCTGTGTGTTTACTGCAGAATTTCACCTGACAGTGGCGGAGTGGGTAAATAAACCCCCAGGAGGCCTCGCTGTGTCACATTACCTCCACTGTACTACTCATGACTTCCCTGGTTCACTCCACTCCACAATCACGGTTACGAGCTTAACAGTACCTAACTTGTAGCTACCTCTCTCAAATCATTACTTATTATTTCTATAAAGTTTCCTCTTATACATCTAGTCACTGAGCTTTTGAAGTTGACACAGCGAAGGTACAGTACGCAGGAGAAGGCCCAAGTCTTTGCGGGCCCAAGCCCCTTGGGTTCCGTGGATCGACGGGAAACCCGGGCGCTCTCCGCTCAAGCAAAAGATCTCTGATCTCCGCTGCATCTTTTTTATGATCTCAACAGCAATAAAAACAAGAAGACCATTTTAACTGCTGAAGAGGAGGGGTGGGGGGCAAAAATAATAAAAAAAAAAAAAAAAGAAAAGGGGGAAAATAAAGAAAAGGGCCCGGGGGGGAAAAAAAAAAAAAAAAAAAAAAAAAAGAAAAGGGGGAAAATAAAGAAAAGGGCCCGAAACCAGTAACAAGTACTACTCACTTTTCTCTCTTTGTTGGCTGTCTCGTGGTCCTTGGGAAATGACGACGTCACCCCTTCTTAATATTTGCCCTATTTGCTTATATTTTCATGTGAGGAGGAGCAAGTACGCAGATGAAGATTGGAGAGCCGTGTTAGCCTATACTTGAGCGCTGTTATATATATAGCCCCTATTAATTACTTTTTTTCTCAACCTACGCAGTCGTTGATTTTATTATTAATTAAAGAAGTGGAAGCCCAGATGGCTGCGTGTATATGTACAACTATGGTCTTGCAGCGATGAACGCTAGCCAGTTGAATTGTCACATAAAGAGTTTTGCTACAGGGACCCAAAATATAGGACCAATAGAGGGGACAAGTGAGGTGTTCCACTCCTATTGGATAATGAGTTGGCCATCATTAATGATGACCAACTTATTATCCAATAGGAGAGGGAAACCTCACTTGTCCCCTCTATTGATCCCATATTTTGAGTCCTTGAAATTTTTTTCAGATATTAATTATGACAAAAATAAAATTTAAATAATTAAATAAAGCGCGTGTAAAGTGTTCCAACCTCTTTGCCTCCGCTCCATCTAAGTACAAAGTTTAATCACATAATTTAGTTTGAGAAAGGGGGAGGGGGGGCGGGGGGGGGTGGGGGCGGGGAAATTCCGAGTCCGAGGACTATTAGCCGATCCTCTCCGTCCACTTTTTGACTGGCAAACCTGACACAGTACTTATTTTGTCTCATTTATCAAATTTTAATACTCATTATTAGGTACTTAGAACAACCCCCCCCCCCCCCACCCCCCCTAATTAATTAATTAACGATGATGTTGTTTCTTACAAACAAAATGCTGCCTAAAAATATATGATAAGCAAAGCATTCGAACGTTGGGGGCAATAACAAGTACAATAATTGCAGGGGGAAAAAATGTAGCGCATTTATGTCGACTTTGGTGTGTGTGTGTAACATAGTCGATCGATTGTTACAAATTGAGGGTCCGGATCATGAGCATATATTACAACAGTACTCCTCTTAATTATTGATCACTGCAGGGCTTCATCGTCAATCATAATTTCCTTTTTTTTTTTTTTGAACATCATCATAGGCTCCAGGCCTACTCATTTTTAATTTGAAATATATTTATAAGAGCTCAGGCCTTCTCATTTTTTTTTCCTCGCAGAAAGCAAATTAACAGCAATCCTTTCCTTCTCCAGCTCTGAAGTTCTTAATCCTCCGCCCACGGGTAATTAGAAAAGCCAATCAAGTACATGACGATATTAATGAACAGTAGCAAAGATTAACATCATGAACAGAAACCCTAGCTTCATCTCAGAGCGCCAACGACGGAAGTTAGAGCCAATAATACGTCAGGATTCTTTTACTGACCGCCGTATTGAAACTCGACACGTGTCCAATAAATACTCCCAATTAGCTCAGAACAGTCTCCTCTCCTCTGATCTCTTTTCATTACAACAACAAGAAGGAAAAAAATCTCTCTCCTCCCCAGATCACCCCCGTAATCATCACCATTAGTGCCCGATGACGTACATGCAATCCCAAAACGTTATCTCCGCTCCCCAAATTACCTTTCTGCCCCTACACCCCCATGGCCGATGTGACGCATCCCCGCGCTGTCCTATTCCTAGTATGATTTGAGGGCAATCCCGTCTTTTCGGGGGGCCTCCCCGTTTTCGGCTCCCACGTGCGTC